GTGCGGGGAGGGCTGGGGCCTGGGCGCCAGCTCCGCGCGGCCGTCCGTCCAGAGCGCGTGCGTGCTCCGGAGGCAGTGGGGGCATGGGACAATGGAAGCCAGGGCCTGGGCGCCAGGGGAACCCGGGTCGTGGATTGGCCATGGAGCCCTCCAGGGTCTGCCCTTCCCACCGCCGCCCTCAGCTGATGGAGAAGGAGCCCTCCAGGGTCTGCAGCCTCCTGGGTACAGTCCTGAACGAACTCCGCCACCGTAAGATGGTGTGCCCTGTTGCCCCGAGCGAGGAGCTGGAAAGCGTACAGCCCAGAACGCGCCAGGCCCCGCTGCAGCCAGAAGATGGTCGACAGGCCTCGGCGAATAGCGCATACTCGTGTCGCATTCATCTGCTCCTCCCCCTTCCCATGATCAATGTTGGCGGCAGGTCTGATGATTCGCAACTCGACCGCGGTCTCCCCCGCGAGTGCCAGCTTTGAATTTTGGGGAACGGGGGAACGTCCACGAGGTGTTCCCTCTACAGGGTGTCCTGAATTTCAATGCGGGGTCCCCGGCAGTCCGGACCCTTTCCCCACCCTGATTCGGATCCGCCGTGCTTTGGCTGATGTTCCGACTTGCAGCTGTGTCGGACGTGTGCCCCAAATGGTGCGAACGGGGCGGAAATTTCCGTCTCGGCAGAGTAGGGCGGATCTCTCGGCAGGAGAGTGGCGGAAACAGCGACGGCAGAGCAGCACGGAGATCGGGATCAAGAGAACTTAAAACATGGAGCGGGGAACTTCTGCCTTTCTTGCCAACTCGCATATGGGTACGGCCGAGCCGAAGCCGGGGGAATGCCAATCGGTTGTCTCCCTCTGCTGCATGTCCCCGGTCTGCAACACCGCGCGCCCTGATCCGGCCCGATCGAGCCCGAGGCCCCGCACCGACCCCGGCATCCGCCGATGCGTTTGTTTAATTCACGGCCCCAGAGGTCCCGCCCCCAAGCTGTACTGGTCCTGGGGCCCAGCCGCGACACCCAGGGACCGACAGTCAGGACAAACGGCGGGATTGAAGACACCATATTCTCGCAGATCTGGCGATGCCCCTTTCTTTTGAAAGAGGCGCTCGGCAATTCCAATGAGGAGTTTGTGTTCAGCGTGTCGTGGCTGCGGCCCCGGCGACACGCTGTGCCCTGCACGCGGGGCGGGAAGCCGGGAACGGCTCGGGATGCTGACGCGTGGGAGCGGGAGTGGGAAGCTGGATAGCGTGCCGCGCCGAAGCGTTGTGGGCCAGAGCTGGTGGTACGACACTCTGAGCCGAAATTCCTGGCCGTACCAAAACACGGGCAAATCGCCGCTATTGTTTTGAACCCCCGCTTGCCAGTAAAACGAAAAAACGAAAAGGCGCCACCCCCACACAAAATTCATTGGGGCAGCGCGGAATGCGTCAACATGAAAGCAGCTAAGCACTTGATGTGTACATATATACATATATATATAGCCCTGTGCACCCACCAAGAACCCCCCTTTCTCATGATTATATATGATTTTAAAAGATGATTCCTACGATTTTCGGACTCACTTTTGAGGCTCTTTTTTGGAAGACTTTTTGGGCTCCCTTCTACTCAACTCCCTCCGTCTCCAACACAACACCCAGTACTCAACAGCCTCCTTCTCCAACACAACACCCGATACTCAACAGGCTCCCTCACCAAGCTGAACTTGAAAAGAACCTTCTACTCAACTCCCTCCGTCTCCAACACAACACCCAGTACTCAACAGCCTCCTTCTCCAACACAACACCCGATACTCAACAGGCTCCCTCCCCAAGCTGAACTTGAAAAGAACCTTCTACTCAACTCCCTCCGTCTCCAACACAACACCCAGTACTCAACAGCTTCCTTCTCCAACACAACACCCGATACTCAACAGGCTCCCTCCCAAAGCTGAACTTGGAAAGAACCTTCTACTCAACTCCCTCCGTCTCCATCCAACACAACACCAAGTATTCAACAGCCTCCTTCTCCAACACAACACCCGATACTCAACAGGCTCCCTCCCCAAGCTGCACCAAGAACCCCCCTTTCTCATAATTATATATGATTTAAAATGATTCCTACGATTTTCGGACTCACTTTTGAGGCTCTTTGTTGGAAGACGTGTTGAGCTCCTTTGTACTCAACTCCCTCCGTCTCCAACACAACACCCAGTACTCAACAGCCTCCTTCTCCAACACAACACCCGATACTCAACAGGCTCCCTCCCCAAGCTGAACTTGAAGAGAACCTTCTACTCAACTCCCTCCGTCTCCAACACAGCACCCAGTACTCAACAGCCTCCTTCTCCAACACAACACCCGATACTCAACAGGCTCCCTCCCCAAGCTGAACTTGAAAATAACCTTCTACTCAACTCCCTCCGTCTCCAACACAACACCCAGTACTCAACAGCCTCCTTCTCCAACACAACCCCCGATACTCAACAAGCTCCCTCCGTCTCCAACACACACACACATGTACTCCAGATCCTACCACCACAACACGACGCGACACCCGAAACTCCAACCGCACCCGCCCCCCTTTTTTTCTTGGCATCTTCCAAGAGAAAAGGGGGGTTCATGGTGGGTACTGCGGCCTATATATATATATATAGATCATGTATATAACTATATATATAGTTATATACATACATACACACATAAATACATACATACATACATACGTACATACACACATACATACACATACATACGTATAACGACAACGAGCCGCATCGCCAATGCATCGGCGATGTGGCCCGATCCTTCGACCCTTAGTCCGACCCCAACTCGGAGGCCTAAGGCTCTCACTGTGACGGCAAGAAGTGTATCCGCATCCTCTGCGTGTGGAACGCTCTGGAAAATGCGCAAAAAGGCATAGGCGCAGTGGCGAAGGACAGAAATCCGCAGACCCTTTTGTGTTTCATCGGCGTGTAAGATACAGTCGACCCGCATAAGCACGCGCGATACGGATGCGAGGGCCTTGGAAGGCCATTTCGAAGCTTTTCGAACGGGGCGCGGTCAACGAAAGTGACCAAGGATAGACCGAGGAGGCAAGGATGCAAGGGTAGCCTTCGGAACGAAGGCCATCCGTCCTGTGCGGCTTGACTGTACTTGCCCCTCCCCAAACCCTTACCCTGGGAGCCCGGCCCGTTGGTCTGGAGTGGGGTGGGGTCCGGCCGGGGGCGCCTTTGCTCCGCGAGGGAGTTACCCGCTCCAGAAATCATGATTTAATTCTGTCCCGTCTCGGACAGCCTCGAGCTGCTCCCAGACGCCCCATGACGGCCCAAGGTGGCCTCCACGTGGCCCCGAACTGCCCTTGAGTCCTGTCAAGACCATCCAAGGCAACTCCCAACACGCCCGCGGAAAGCTCAGAGGAGCCCCAAGAAGGCAACAACCAAAAAACAAACGCCCCGCTCTCGTCGGGAAACGCATACTTATACATATTCCCTGGTATGCCCCGGTGGGGAAACGCGAACTTTTACATATTCCCTTATCTCGTTTTCGAAACACCCAGAACAACCAAAGAGGCCCCGAAAATCATCCCCAAACAGCCCACGGGGCCCCAAATAGAGCTCCAAGACAGCCGAAAACGTCATCAAAGGAGCGGCCGCAGACAGCGCCCGGGATACTTACGGAGCCCTCAAGACAGCTCAAGAAACTTCCAAAACTGCCCCTGGTGGCGCCGGAACGTCCTGAAAAGCCCGAAGCGTGTTCCAAACGCGTCCGAGAATAGCCAAATGGCTTTAAACATGCCCAATAGGCCCCAACACGCCTTGAAGAAACACCAAAGAAGCCCCAAAACACTTTGGCGCGAACGTGCGCAAGTGTGCATGCTCGATGCGCCTCGGGCCCCCGCGAGATTCCCAGACGGTAGCGACGAGGTGGTCAGGCTCCCTCTTGATGTTCGGCGCTCGCCGCCGTCCGCGCAATTGCCTGCTTTCACATGGCGCTTCGCTTGGCCCCTTCGCGTGGCACTCCGAGCGCGCCACTCGGCCCCCCCACTTGTAGCGATTAGTTCTCTAATCTTTGGAACAAAAAAACGCTGTCTGAGAACGCGGGCCCGACCCGTCTCCTCAAAGGCCACGCGCAACAATCAAACGGTTTCGCCCCCGCCCGCGCAGCGTGGCACAGGCAGCATACGACACAGCGATGGCTCGAGCCCTTGGCCAGGCCAGCCATGGCCCCCTTGATCCCGCGAGTGATGTGCGATGTCAACGAATGCTGACTGCGCCCTGCCGGCCGAAGTCGGACACGCTGAACGCCGAAACGTTCCGACCGCTTCTTCTGTCCGAGGCGCCCGCCCCGCCTTCGAACGCGTCGCGCGCGCCTTGTTGTTCGTGTCGTTTGATAAATAAATGCCCGTCTTCTGTGAAAACGGGCATCGACACAGTCGTCTGTCAAAAGGGCATGCAGAACGCCGAATGTGTCGAGCCCCCTCGCGTGCCTCGCGGCACGCGCGGCACGCCGCGAGGCGACGGCAGCTGCCCGCGTAATAGGTTTCCCCCACCCGGTTCTCCACTCGGGCGCCTCGCTTCCGCGATCGCAAGGCCTCCCACCTGCGCATTTCGACACTGAAGCACACCTTGAGCGTCTTCGGCCGCCCCCCTTCCGCGATGCGTCCTCCTCGTTGCCCGCCTCCCCCAGGTCATCTGCGCCTCGCTCCAATCGCCCGCCGCGCCCGCCCTCGTTTCTGGCGGCGAACTACCTGCGAGAATTCTCCCCGGTTGCTTCCATCGCGCACGGGCCCGCGGCGGCCTCGGCCGACAGTTTCAAGGGCCGCGCGCGCGCCGCGCCCTGAATCTCTCTCGCGCGCTGCCTTGCGCTCCTGCGACTCCCTTCGCGGCTCCCTGCCCGACGCCGGCCTGGCGCGTCGGTCGCGCTTGCTCGCCGGCGCGAACGCTCGACCCCCCCGCACCCCCCCCCCCCCCGAGATGCCCCAGTTCGTTCGCGACAAAAGCTCGGCCCCGACGTCCTCTCGAATCCCGCGGGCGCACCTGGCCGCGCGTGCTGCGCGCGCTCCGCAGCGCGAGCTGTCCTTCAAATTCGCCCCATGGAACAACGCGCCTTCATGACTTCTCCAAAGGCAGCTTCGCTCCGCCCATCCCACCTCGCAAAAAGGGGCCGGCCATCACCCGAGCAGTCGACGCAAGCATGATCCGCGGCCATCTTCCACGTCGGCGACGGCCGCGAAATTGGATGTCCAACTGACGTTGCGACCCCCATAAATCTGCGACGCCCGCTCCCGTCGCCGGCCCACGCGCCGCGCGCGCCGTGCTCGCGAGGCCTGGCGGCATGAGAAAAGTGCATCCGCCTGACTCCCAATGCTGGCCCCGTCTGGCACGGACCCACGCACCATGTCCGGCGAAGAGCAACATGGGTTCCAGGCCCGGCTTCTCCATGCCCTGCAACTCCCACTTCGCGGCGTGGGTATCCAACGCAATATGCGTCGGCCTGCTGCGGGGCGCCGCCTCTGCCGCGCCTTCGACGGGGGCCCCTTCGTCGTCCAGTGAGCGCGGGATTGCCTACTGCTGGCGGCGACCACCCAGGCGTGTCTGCGCAGTCTCGTCATGGCAGCCGAACCATCGCACCCTGTTGGTAGACGCGCGCGCGGCCGCTGCTGGCGGGCGCAATGGCGGGCCGCGCCCCGCGCGTGCACCCGCGGAACCTGCTTCCGATCACTGGCGGCTTTGCCCACGGCGCGTTGCCGAACGACTTCGCACTTCGCACCCCAAGTCGGATTGATCGCCGACGTTGCCGCAAACTCCCGCAGCGCGAAACACTCATCGCTGGGGCCACTCGCCACCACAGAAGCCGCGTCTGGTTGTCCTTGCAATGCTCGCACTCACGCTCGTTGTTCCCCACAATCGCGCCCACGTTCCATGCGCGCTCTCGCCGTGCCGCGACCCCGGCTCGCCAGTCGGTCTGCCGCTGAGAAACTGGCGCGTCTCCTCGCCCAGGCTCCGCGTCCACACCAAAACAACAACTGGGCATTTTGTCCCCATGGGCTTGCATACAATGAGCTCCGCCATGCCTGCTGCGCCCCTCTGCCCATCCCTCCGCGCCATGTAGTGGCCGCGGCTTTCTTCCGCGATCGGCGCGCACTGCCTTGCCTTGCGCGGTGACGACGTCGGAATTGCATCCAACGGCACTCCGCCGGGGTGCTCAAACTGGTCGAAATCACCGCGGGGCAAAAAAAACGTTCACGCCGCCGATGGGCCTGCCAACCCTGTCCGCGCCCACCTTGCCAAAGGTCGCTAGACGTGACAGATCGCGAAGCGTCCCGTTCCGCGAGCAGGATCGCAGTCACCAAACTGATTTCGTGAATGATCAACCACCGCCACTGCTGAATCCGTCTCGCTGCCTCCACTGTCTGCGCGCAGCCTTCTCCCGATTCTCTACTGCCCTCCTGCCCGCTTCCACACTGCGCTGTTCCAGAAACCGCGTGCAACGCATGCCCGTCGAAGGCCGTCGCGTTCTTGGCCAGCAACGCCGACGCTTGAAGATCCAACCCGTGGCAACACCCCGCAACGTTTTCGCAGACGTGGTTCTACAATGTTTCCGCTACGTGGCTCTTGCCTGTCCCAAAGTCTCCACGCAGCATCCAGCGCAGCGGCTCCCTGCTTCCCCGGGCCCTCTCGCCCCCCCCGCAGTCTGCGATCGTCCTGTCCACGACCTTCTCGACAGCCTCCCACTGCTTCTGATTCAGTTCCAATGGCCGATCGCCCGCGGTGCCGTAAGGCTCGCACTGCAGTTCCGCAACTCCAGCACGCCGCAAACTGCGTGCCCTGTCGAATGCTTTTTCCGGCATCTCGCACTGCCCCCACGCGTCGCCGCCCCCTTCCCGCGCGACGCCCGTGATTCTGCCTCTCCACAGCTCCAAACTATCCTGGCGAAGGACCCAACCAGATGCAGTTGCGAGTACCGCAATTGTGAATATCTTCTTCGATGGCGCTCCCTATGGGGCCACGAACCGTATGAGGGGTGTGCCGAAATCTGCGCGGTGGGCGCATGGGAGCGCAGCCACTGGGGCCTTCGCTGGAGCTCCCTATGGGGCCACGAAACGTGTGAGGGGTGTGCCGAAATGGGTGCGGTGGGCGCATGGGAGCGCAGCCACTGGGGCCTTCGCTGGAGCTCCCCATGGGACCACGAAACGTGTGATGGGTGTGCCGAAATGGGTGGGCGCATGTGGGAGCTGGGTGCGATGGGAGCGCAGCCACTGGGGCCTTCGCTGGAGCTCCCTATGGGGCCACGAAACGTGTGAGGGGTGTGCCGAAATGGGTGCGGTGGGCGCATGGGAGCGCAGCCACTGGGGCCTTCGCTGGAGCTCCCTATGGGGCCACGAAACGTGTGAGGGGTGTGCCGAGCGCGCATGGGAGCGCAGCCACTGGGGCCTTCGCTGGAGCTCCCTATGGGGCCACGAAACGTGTGAGGGGTGAAATGCCGCAATGGGAGCGCCACGAAACGTGTGAGGGGTGTGCCGAAATGTGCGGTGGGCGCATGGGAGCGCAGCCACTGGGGCCTTCGCTGGAGCTCCCTATGGGGCCACGAAACGTGTGAGGGGTGTGCCGAAATGGGTGCGGTGGGCGCATGGGAGCGCAGCCACTGGGGCCTTCGCTGGAGCTCCCCATGGGACCACGAAGCGTGTGATGGGTGTGCCGAAATGGGTGCGGTGGGCGCATGGGAGCGCAGCCACTGGGGCCTTCGCTGGAGCTCCCTATGGGGCCACGAAACGTGTGAGGGGTGTGCCGAAATGGGTGCGGTGGGCGCATGGGAGCGCAGCCACTGGGGCCTTCGGTGGAGCTCCCTATGGGGCCACGAAACGTGTGAGGGGTGTGCCGAAATCTGTGCGGTGGGCGCATGGGAGCGCAGCCACTGGGGCCTTCGCTGGAGCTCCCTATGGGGCCACGAAACGTGTGAGGGGTGTGCCGAAATGGGTGCGGTGGGCGCATGGGAGCGCAGCCACTGGGGCCTTCGCTGGAGCTCCCTATGGGGCCACGAAACGTGTGAGGGGTGTGCCGAAATGGTGCGGTGGGCGCATGGGAGCGCAGCCACTGGGGCCTTCGCTGGAGCTCCCTATGGGGCCACGAAACGTGTGAGGGGTGTGCCGAAATCTGTGCGGTGGGCGCATGGGAGCGCAGCCACTGGGGCCTTCGCTGGAGCTCCCTATGATCGTCATGATGGTGATGATGATGATGATGATGATGATGATGATGATGATGATGATGATGATGATGATGATGATGATGATGAAAGGAGGGAGGGGGCAGCGAGAGGAGGAGGAGTGAACGCGGGGCGCTGTCTCTTCAAAACGAGGACCCAACACCACAGGATGGTTGGGAAAAAAGCATCGCCCCAATCCTTGACATAATGCTGTGTCGTCCAAAGCGGCCCATGAGCCTCCAAGATTAATTACCTCGGACTAGCCCCCAAACGGTCACCAGCAGGCCCCAAGAAACAAACCAAGACCCCAATGGCACCACAAGAAATCACAAGACGCTCGATACCCCAAAAGATCGGCGATGCGGAGTAAGCCTAACAATCCACGTCCAGAAGTGACGTGCTGAGCGGCCTCATGTTCTGGCGAACGCGTGAACGTAACGTGTCCACAGTATCCAATCTTACATACTTGCTGCGCAGCGTATTCTCCTACATGGTTACGTTTCTCCCCCCCCCCTGGGGTGGCGCCACATCGGCGGGACAAGATGCCCTCCCTCTCGGGTCTCGAAACGTACCAAAACGTATGGAAAATATGCAATCTCGGCCTCTGGGACCTCCGAGGGGCCGCAGAACCTGGCACCTGTAGATGCAATCTGGCACGCAGCCAGACGGCAATCGCAAGAGACAACCTCCGGGGGGGCCCAGCACCGCGCGATTCCCGGGTGGGCAGTGCTAACATGCATTGCACTCTGCATTCGCCAGCACAAGCTTTCTGAACAAAATACATCAACTCCGTGCTGAGCAAGGCTACCCTCTCGGCGGCTGCCCTCTTGTTCAGCCTCCGAGGGGTCGTAGAAGGCCTCAGGACGGCTCAATGCATCTTCCCGAAGGCCCAAAACAACCCAAAGAGGGCCCCAGGAGAGCCTAAAAGACGGCCGTGGAGGGCCACAAGGTGGTCCCCAAAAAGCACCACCAGAGGCCAACAACATCGATTATCCTTCAAGTTCTGCAAGTCTGTTGACGCCCTTGTTTTTTATTTGAGGGGGGGGGGGGCGTGACGGCCGAAGCAGCCTCCAACCCTCCGATCATGGTGTTACCCCCCCCCCCTATACCCCCCCCATGGAGTCGCGCCTAATCAGCTGACCAAGAGCCCCCCCCTCTTGGGCCCCCAAACGTACCAAAACTTGTGGACTAATTAATGATCTCGACATCTGGGGCCAGTGAGGGGCCCTAGGGGGCCTCAAGACGGCCCCAGAGGCCCCAAAGAGGTCCCCAAACGGCCAAAGGGGGCCCACAGAGGCCCCAAGAAGGCTCAAGCGGCCCCCACGCAGACCAAGAGGACACCAACAACAGCCACAACGCTGCCCCGAGAGGCCCCCAACACGGCCTACGAAAGGGCCAGACGGCGCAAGAGCGCCCCAGGACGGCGCGAAAGGCACCCAAGAGGGCCCAAGAAACCCAAAGGGTCCCCCAAAAGGCTTACAGGGGCCCCTAAGGAGCCTCCAACATGCCCCAGATAATCATTCCAACGGCAAGAAAAAACACCAAAAGGCCCGCGGATTTGTAAACGAATGGCGCGTTGTGGCTATGCTCATCGAAACTTGAACTTGGCGTTGCCTTGTGCCGACACGCGGTGATTGCTCAACGTCCTTGTAAACATTCGAAGTCTCGTCCTAGCGCTGAAACCGGGGAGGTGGGGGGCCGCATCCGCCCGCCGTGGCGCTGGCGCTGGCGGCAGAGATGTTCGGCAGACGAGCAGGGCCAACCAGCCAACGTCCAGCCTTAGCATGCTCCAGACGTGCACCCCGTGAGACGAAAAGAAATCAACATCCGGAGGTGCCGTGCTGAGCGGCAGCGCTTTCTCGCGAACGCCGTGACGCAACGTGCCCCGTGTATCCAATATCACTTAATATTGCTACACATTGTTTTCAATTGTCTTATGATCTCCCTTCTACCCCCCGGTGGAGTCGCGCCACGTCAGCGGACCAAGAGCCCCTACCCCTCTCGCGCCCATAAACGTACCAAAACGTATGGAACATCTATGATATCGTCCTCTGGGCCCTCCTGGGGGCCCTAGTGGGCCTCAAGACGGCGCCAAAGGCTCCCAAGAAAGCGCCAAAACATGCCAAATTTGCCGACAGAGGCCCCGAGAGGCCCCCAAGACGGTCTAAGAAGGAGCCAGACGGCACAAGAGCGCCCCACGACGGCCCGACAGGCTCTCAAGAGGCCCCGAAAGACCCCCCAACAAAACATGATGCCCCCAAAAGGCTTACAGGCGCCCCAGGAAGCCTCCAACAAGCCACAAAGAATCCTTCAAACGGCCCAAACAAACCACCCAAAGGCCCGCGGAATTGTATACGAATGCCGCGTTGTTACCACATGCATCGGAATTTGAAATTGGCGTTGCCTTGTGCCGACACGCGGTGAGTACCCAGCGCCCTCGTTAACATTCGAACGCTCGTCTCAATGCTGAAGCAAGATGGGGGGGGGGCGGGGGGGCGCATCCGCCCCCCGTGACGTTGGCAGCGCCCTGGTGCGACACGGCAAAACTTCTCGGCTGACGAGCGTGGCAGCCACCCGATGCCCAGCGTCAGCGCACTCCGGATGTGCACCCCGCGAAACGACTGGCATCTCACCTCTGAGGGCCACAGCCCTATCCATACTTATATCCCCTGCGCCTCTGGCCTCTGCGGGAGCCCGAGACTCCGAGAGGAGGTGGGTATGGATACGTAAATGAGCTTAGCCGCCCCGATACGCAAAACGAAACCCGTATCGTGGTGGCACGGAACTCAACACGCAGTTTGGAAACGTACACATGGCGCGGCACGTTCGCCCAAACGTGGCCCAATACGCGGAACCAACACGCAACGTGCGAATGCGAACGTTTTGAAAACGGTACGTGTTGCGTTTCAAAACGGGTGCTTCGGGCCAGATAAATATACCGCAGTAGCGGGGCCGAGCGTTGATTCATTGCCCGTTGGTGCGTGGCCGAACTGGGACTCCGCAGCGCGGATGCTGCTGGAATTCTCACACCTAAAATTATTGCTGCTCCCCTTCTCCGTTAACCATTGCATGTATTTAAATGAAATGATTGTCCCTGGGCTCGCACCTTTTCCTTCATAACGAATAATGAAGTGTCACCGAACTGTGCCCTTGGCCCCCGGTTTACAAGAACAACGGTTCCCGCCGGATGCTTCCTCACAATGTAATCCCACATCGCGTCTCGCGCGGGACTTCCGTACAATTTATGCAAGAATAACGTTTTCGCGTGGGACGCCCTCGCAATTTATTCGAAGGCCGCGCCTTCGACACTCAGGAATCACGCTGTTGCTTTGGCCACTCTTCCGAAGTTCTCGGGAATCGCGCTGTCACTCGAGACTTCGTCGCGATCCATGCAGGACCCACGCTTTAGCAACCCGCTTGCTCGACCTGGCCGCCTGGGCCCGCCTTCCCGACCCGCCCGCTAACGTGTGCCCGCCCTTTCTGCCCGTCAGGTTCTGTCACGTGATTTCTGCTGCTTGCCACCCTCATGCTAATTTCTCCCGTGTTCCATCCTTTTCCTTCCCCTTCCATCCGTCTTTTCCTCCCCTGTCTAAAAAGGCTGCGACAAACGCGTGTGGCAGGAGAGGAAGATATGCCGCCAAAGGGGAACGATCGAAGACAAAACAGGCAGGTACCGACGGTTTGGGATATTCGTGGTGAGTGGCACGCGAGCAGATAGAAGCGCGAATTGTTTTAAAACGATTGTTTTCGTTCTTGCCGTCGTCCCCGCCCGCGACGCACCCCGCGATCCAGCCCGCGACCCACCCCGCGACCCCCCCGCGAGCCACCCTTCGCCCGCCCCCTGCAGTGACGATGGGTGCCGTGTGCCCTCTTGCCCGCACCCATGGGCTCCTGACCGAACACCTGCCTCGCCGTGCCCGGCGCCTCCGCGCCCGGCGTGCCCGGCGGCGCGCCCTCGCCGGCGGCACCTCGGCCAGCGCCGGCGATGCCGGGGCCCGAAGCGGGCACCTGCCCCAGCGCGCCCAGCGCCTCGTTCGGTGGCAACCCACGGGTCGAGTAGGGGATCGATCACAGGAGCTGGGTTGCCCCAGAATTGATTTTCTCGTCGAACGTACGGAAACAAGCCGTAGAATGCTCGTAGGCAGTTCGACGTATTTCTGTAGATTCGACGAGCTGGGGCAAACCAGAAATGTAGTCGATCCCCTATTCGAACAGGGGCCTCCCGTTCCGAGCTCGTGGCTCTGCCACATTATCGCCGGGAGCGTATTCGCCCAACCTCGGGCCCCCGAACCCTCACAGATCGATGCGGCTCGAAAAATGCCGCAGCACGATGGGTCAAGGTCTCCAGTGATGATTTCTTGCGATGGCGCAACTATTTGGCAATATCCGATCACAGGGTATACGCGGACTCTTGCGACTCGACACTCGTCGACGCTAAACCGACGGCATTCGACGCTACATTGGCGCTCTCTCCTCGACGGCCAAACGCTGGGGCACACTCATGCAATCTAGACACGAGGAGTTGCGAGGATACACGAGTCTCCCATGATCTTCGGCTGTGCGCAAGAGCGACCCTGGGCAACAGTGACCTGGTGCGCGGCTTCTCCTGGAAGCGACAAATTCACACTATTACTTTGAAGGAGCTACTTGCTAAAGGAAGCAATACTTTTAGTAACATGTTTTTGCTCTGTTGCGCGACAACCGTAGCGGCACGGCCGAGTTGCCGAGCCACGTCTTGCGCTCGCGCCCTGAATCTCCTGTCAAGGAGCAACGACAACTCGCGACCCTGGGCAAGAGTGACCTTTGGTGCGCGGCTTCTCGGGGGGCGCGGGGGGACTAACACACATCAGCGCGCAAGACGCTGCTGGTGGCGCACTGGGTTCGGCGATTGCGGGGGATCTCAGTGGGCCCGCGCCCACAAGGTCACTCCGGTTCAAGGTCACTCTCACTGGATAAGCGCGTTCCACGACTCGCAAAGTAACCACTCGCAAATGGCTGGGATCCGCGTATATATATATATATACATATATGTGTGTATACGTGTGTATCTATATATATACAATACTCTCCATAGAGGAAGACATGTTTTTTCTCCTGGTGACTGGTGAGTGGAACGCGCCCGGTGACTGACATCCAGTCGAGATTGGCCACCGAACGCCTCGGGGCTGGGCCTGGACCCTCCCCCGGGAGCCCGGGCCGCCGCGGCGCGCCGCTCGCTCGCCGGGGCCGCGGCCGCCCGCTCACCCGCGCGGCCGCCGCGGGCCGCTGCGGCCGCGGGGGCGGCGGCGGCGGAGGCCGAGGCGCGCACGGCCGGGCGGACGCCGCCCGCGGCGGCGCCGCCGCCGGCCGGGCCGCCGCGGGGCGCTGCGTGCGCCGCCGCGGCCAGGGCGGATGCCGCTGCAGCGGCCGCAGGCCGCGCGCACGGGCTGGAGATCGTTGTGTATCGCTCGGCGGTGCAGTCTGCCCGCAGGGTGCAGGGGTGCGCGATGGGGACGCGAGGGGCCTTGGAGGGCCACGTGGAGGGTTTCTCGAGCGAGGCTGGCCAGCGAAAGTCGCTGGGGATGGGCCGAAGGGGGGCCAGGATGCAAGGGCATAGCCTTGGACAATTACTGGTCCTTCAATCCGGGTTACATGAGATGGTGGGGAAGGGGTGAAAGGGAGATAACGGCCGATAACCTGAGCTTTTCGTCCTGGGCATCCCCACATACGCCCGCGCGTGCCAATACCGCGTGCCCCCTTCGGACCTGCGCTACAGGCATGGACAGGTGGGGGAGGCCCGCGGGAAGAGGACGAGGAGCAGAGGAAGAGGAGGAGGAGGAGGAGGAGGAGGAGGAGGAGGAGGTGGACCAGGAGGAGGAGGTGGACCAGGAGGAGGAGGTGGAGGAGGATCGGCATGCCATCGGCATGAGAAGTACAACATCCTAACATAGGAGGAGGAGGAGGAGGAGGAGGAGGAGGAGGAGGAGGAGGAGGAGGAGGAGGAGGAGGAGGAGGAGGAGGAGGAGGAGGAGGAGGAGGAGAAGGAGGAGCAGAGGGGGGGGCAGGCGGGCCCGATGACCCACGTCACTGCCGGACCCTGAGAAAAAAACAGTCTCCTGGCGAGCTCGTGCTTTCCCGGCCCTGGGCTGCCCAGGCCGCCGCTCGCGGCGGCGAGGAGCGCCGGCGTGAGGCACGGCATGGGCGCGATCGGCAGCTCGCGCTGGGGGCCGTGGCCGCAGTCACCGCACCCCAGGCCCAGCCCGCGACGCCGAGGGCCCCCGCCGTGGAAGGGCGCCGCGGCGAAGCCGAGGCTGCTCCCCAGGCTGTCGCACGCCAGCGCAACTCCTGAGGCCCAGCAGCCTCGGCCCCAGAGGTAGGACAGGAGGTCCCGCTCCACCAGACCAGCGCTGCACGGCTCCAAGCCCAGGCCACCGGCAGTGAAGCTCCATGCCGGCATCGTGGTGGCCGGCAAATCCGCCGCCGTGATAACGGCACCTTCGGGGGTGTCAGCATGCAAGTCCGCGGTCAGGTATAGTCTGACAGCCTTCGTCGCGAACGCGCGCATACGCTCGTCCTACAAACCCTGTCCTGATTCTTTCCGCACGGGCTCCGCGCAAATCCAGACCCTTTGCCCAGGGCCGCTTTTTCATCCCGGATCATTGTTTGACGGTCCTGGGGCCAAGCGAAGGCCCCCGGAGGCCGAAAACGACAGCAAAACTCTCGTTGTATTTTCGTTTTGCGAGGCAATCTGGGGCCAATTCCTTGCTGGCGCTCTGTCTGTTCCGAAGGCCCCAAGGCGGTCAACGACATCCCCAGGACAGCTGCAGCATAGCCTCAGACCGGCCCGAGACAGCCCCTCCACAGAACTCATTCATAAGCTCCGTGAAATACCCAAGGAGGCCTCCCAAAGAGATCTCCATACGGTAATCCAAGACATGATCGGGTCACGACAAGAATCACGACGGGAAGGTGTTTGGCCGTGCTCGGCCCCCTGGGGTCTTCACACGGCCCCAGGACATGCAAAAACGACTCGCGACGAGAAGCCAGCCCCCAGGGAATGGGTCAGGACGTTCGGGGAGGCCGTGCTGAAAAATCTAGACATCTCATGTCTGGGAATGGGAACCCAAACGAACTGACCAACCGAGTGGTTGTCGATGTCCGTTGCTTGCTTTCATGGCGTGTCCGACCAAGATGGCTTCAGAAAAACGTCGCCTGGTGCCCAACTGGGCCAGCCCCCGAGGTGGCCGAAGACTTCCCAAGTCGACCCGAGGATCCCGCAAGGCGGCCCAGGCTCCAAGAGAGCGCCAGCGTCTCAGGACGGCCCCGCGCCCCCGTCTGCTCCGCCTCCTGGCTCCTCCCTGCTCAGTCTCCTCCCTTCTCTCTCTCTCCTCCCCTCCCGCAGCTAGTTGTATTACCAGCCTCGAACGTATCCGTATCCCTAAGATTGACACGCCAAAAGGCGATGGCAATCTTAGGGATTCGCCCTCAAAAGATAAGGGAATCCCTAGGATTGGCATCGTGGGCAGGAGATGCCCAGCATAGGGATAGGGATATGTTCCAGGCTGGTAATTGTAGAGCCAACGTGCTACTCAGTCTCGGCCCAACTCGGACTCGTGCTCCCGATGAGCCTGCCGCCGTCGCCCCTCCCGCCGCCCTCCCCCTCTTGCGGGCGTGCCCCGTCGGCGGCAGCCAGCTGAGCACCTCAGCAGGAGGCCCTCCGCATGCGGTTCGCCCCTCGCGGGAGCTTGCTTACGGTGGCGGGCAGCTGCCCCCGAACATCCGGTCGGGCACGTCCTCCTACAGGCGGGTTTTGGACGACAACTGAAGGCTACCCGAACCAAAAATCAAGACTCGTCAAGCATACTCAAAACATCGTCCCCAGACAATGATTTTACTATTTGGGAATATTCCCCCCTGTAGAGGGATGTGCCCGACTAAGAGGTACCCCCAGACATGCGACGTCCCAATGTTTTCCATGCGGGGTCCCCGAACGGCCCGAGCCGCTCCCCGGGGCCAGCCTCTCCCATCCTGAGCCGTGCTTGACGGTCTCCGAGGGCCCGCTGATGGCCGCCGCGTGCCGAAAACCTGCAGAACACCTCCCGGCGCGATATCGCCAAGGCGTGGCCACGTCTGGGTCCCACGCTTGCTTCTGGCACGGGCCCCACCGACTTCGACTGGTGCCGGGACTCTTCGGGAGAACTCGGACTCGGACTCGGCCTTGCCAGGGTGAGCCGCGAGGGCCCGGCAAGTTGGCACCAGAGCGCCAGCCACATGTGAAACATGGAAAATGACGAAAAGCGACGCCTCTTCTGGAGAGCACGGACAAATCTTCGCGCCAGAGATTGCCCTCATGCCCCCTCACAGGCCCCGTATTCACCCGCTCCAGAAGCAACATGCCCAGGGGGGGACCCGACAAGCCCCGCAAGAGGCCCACGGAAACTCCCAGAAGCCCCCAAGAGCCCACGAGTTAACACGGCGTCTGAGTTGCGGACACTCCACGCTAGCACTGGAGGACCGTGGCGCTGCTCCCCAGACGACCCCAGGATGATCCAATGCACCCGTTCGAGAGAGCTCGGCATGTCAGTACACATCAGTGTTCTGCACAAGTGTTACATGCAATGGTGGTGCGGTTGCGGGGTTTGCCGCAGGCAGCCGGACGAGAATCTGATGCTGCGCTGGATGCAGGACTCGTCGGTCCATAGCGACAGTCCCAGGTGACAGCGCTCAACCCTGGAAGAAGGGCGCCAACTATACCAGAAGAAGAAACCATGCCATGAACATAAACTTTTGGCGCTCCGCGCGGATCTCTTGGATCTGCGCTGGACCCCTCTCCATGGCGCGCGGAGCGCGCCAGGGGCGGGGCCGGAGGCGCCGCATGGGGAGCCCAGCGCGGATCCAAGAACTCCGCGCGGAGCGCCAAAAGTTTCGGTTTGTGGCGTGTCTGTTTCTTTCTTCGACCTGCTCCGATCCAGGCTGGGCCCATGCTTAAGAGAAACCACCAGGTACCGATACCGCTGGCCCTCGGACCTACCCTGGGGTGCGTTCTGGCCAGAAGCGCCAGGCGAATGCAGCGGTGGCGACGAGGGTTTCCGAGGAGGCCCCCAACAAGGGGAAGACGAGGAGAAGGCAGAGGTATGCGTTCCTCTTTCTCCTCTGAATCCTAGGATCATTGCACACGTACTCTCAGCTTTCGGGGGCGGAGAAGAGGGGGGCGTCCAAGAGGGGGGTCTGCGAATCATGGCCGGGGGCATGTGCGCGGCCAAACGGGGGTGCCAGGGACGTCATGAAATAAGAAGAGGCGCCATGAAATCTGGGAAGGTATCTTGGCCCACGCCATGATATCCAACCCCCCAAAGCCATCACCCCCCTCTTTGCCGCCCCCGCAGCCTGGCAGGAGGGCACGGGCACCGAATTTCTCTGGGCCGGGGACCGGTCCCGGCCGGGAGGGGCGGCAAACGGTGCACACTCGGCGCCCCCCTTGCCGGCCTGGCGCGCTGGCAGGCAGGAACGGCAGCCGCCGGGGGTCCATGTGGCCAGCTCTGAGATCCGACGCTGCGGTTCCAAAACATGCGACATCGTCTGACATCACGACCGGAGCCTGGGACTCGATCTTTCTGCAGGGACCCGTAGACCAGGACACGCTAGACCAGGACATCAGAGGAGGGAAAGATACCCATACCTCTACCCCCTCGCCCGTTTCTCCCCTTGTTGGGCCTCCTGGGAGGCCCTCGTCGCCACCGCTGGATTAGCCTCTAAATTCTGGTCAGCAGTATCGGTACCTTTTGCTCTCCCCAGGACATCCCAAATCCCTCGAAACCAAGTTGTCCAGACGGCGGCAGGAAAAAACTGCACTGCAACATTCCGACGCTGGACAAGCGCGTTCCCAGACTCGCAAAGTAACCGCTCGCAAATGGCCTGGATACGCTGCGGGGCATTTACGATCCATCGCATAATTGAGGAAGGCAATGCGTTGTTGGTAAGACGTTTGCGAGTGGACACTTTGCGAGCAGGTGGAACGCGCTCAGTGAGACGTTGCGGACAAAAACGCAGCATCGTCAAAATCACGGCCGGAGCCCTGAACTCCATCTTTCGGCAGCTGTTTTCGAGCCGCATCGACCTGTGACGTTCCAAGGAACCGAGACAAGGCAAAGTCGCTCGTTGTGATAACATGGCGACGCCAGGATCTCAGAGAACTACCTGTGCCGCCTCTGTGGGCGACCCAGCCCACTGTGGCTCAGGGGCCTGCCGGGCCATAAAACGGCTCTCCTCCGCATGCGGGGCGGCCTCAGCCGCGCGAAGGACGGCCGCGGAGAGAGGAACGTGCGGCCGAGCGGAGAGGGAAGAGAAAGGCGCACCCGCCTGCCTGGCCGACGGAGCTCTCACAAGGGGGGGCGGGGGGAGGGGGACGGCAAGGGGCGGAGGGAGGGAGGAAGGAGGGAGGGATTATGAAGGGGAGGCACAGTGAGGGGAGGGAGGGATGGACAGGGACGGGGCAGAGGAGAGGACGGGGATGGTGGGAAAAAGAGAGAGAGAGAGAGAGAGTGTGTTCCCGCGTCGCCTCCGCGTTCCAGCGTTCCCGTCTCCTCCATTCCTCCTTTCCTTTTCGCAAGCACATTCACACACCAGAGACACGTATACGCAGTACAAGAAATCAGTTCTTCTAGCTCGTACACGCGTCCGACACACGTACACACCCGCACACGCACGCACGCACACGCACGCACGCACGCACGCACACATACACACACGCACACACATCGTACAATCCCACATGTAGCCGCAAGCATCTCTGTTCATTGCATCATGCAAGCCAGGCGCATACAAAACATACACGGCACCCGCTTGATACTCACGCAAAACATACATATGCAGACTTCGACGCCAAAATTCTGGGGTTCCGGTGGTATTCCTATCCGTTGCAGGCTCGCAGGGCGTGGCGGGCATGGCATTTCCTCGACGCCACTGGAGGTGCGCAGGTAGCGGTTTCCCTATCCGTCTTTGGGTCGCAAGGTCTACGAGGCGTGACATTTCCTCGACGCCATCGGGAGTGTGCAAGGCGTGGTCTCTGTTTCCGCTGCAAGCTCGCAAGTCTCGGCAAGCATGGCAACTCCTCGACACCAGAGGGGGTGCGCAGGGCGTGAACCCGTCATTCGCTGCTAGCTCGGAGAGCGCTGCAGGCGTTCGCAGGCTACAGTCGGGGCGTTGACCTCAGGAACCCTAAATAAGGAACGAAGCCCCTTTTTTCCCATAAGTTCAACCTCGATGTCCCATGGAAAACCTCAGGAAAACCCGAGGCAAACTTTGAAACAATCGAGGAACACCGAGCCCCTCCCCAACGAAAAGGGTTCATTCTTCAGCGCCCCGACTGTAGCCAGAGAGGGTTCGCTGGGTATGGCACCGGGTATGGTACTATCCTTTGCAGGCTCGGCGGGCGCGAAAGGCGCTGCATTTCTTCGACGCCCGAGAGGGTGGCAGTCGAAAACCAACTCGAGCAACACACGAGGGCGCAACACGCTGACGGGCTCCTAACGGCAGCGGTGACATTGACATTCTCTTCCGCGGGCA